CTTGGCTTGGTTTGTGTGAGGAACACAAAGAGCCTGTACTCAACTGATAGGGTTTGAGAAAACTCTCAAGTGAAGGAAAATAGTTAAGTGACATTGTGGATGGTGCCCTCTGTAACAATTCAATCTACTGTTGTGAAAATGTATAAGAAAATTAATGTGCTAAAATACTTGTAGTGTAAATGCTCATAAACAGAGATTTCTCCCACTGAGGGCACTGACGCAATGAGAGAAGTGCTAGCTGAGCCAAATCTGCTATTTGCTACCAGTGTATGTTTGTGTGTGTGTGTTGGTGGGTCGGGGGTCAGCACTTAATGTGAGTGCTTTTATCCTCTGATATCCAAAGCTTCCACTGTATAGGTGATGTCCTGGTGGTTGACTGCCAGAAACTGACTTCAGTGTTATCACACTTATGTTCAATGGGCAGAACCTAAGACTGTTGTTCTAAGTCCAGCCGACCCTCCATTTGATGAAATTTTTATATTTTTACTGACCCTGAGCCTGTTGCCAATGGCCTAGTTATTTGATCTGCCACTTGTTAGACTGTACACTAGAAGGTTAAAAACACATCTTATGGGGATCATAAATGAGAAATAAAGTATGGATGCTGATGGAATTTCTGGGTACTTACAGAGATGTCCACAGTAAATGTCTCTTCTCTGATAATACCAATTAAAATCAACCTGCTGATCAAGCCTGCACTGCCCAGCTTGCCAACAGACATGACAATACATCTGCCATCAGGGACTGGGCACAAAGTAAAGGACTATGTTTCTGGTGCAGAAACCACTACTATATGCCAGACCTGTGACTCTAGCCCAAACATGGAGCATTGACCAACCTCGCTCCTGACAGATTGTTTGCATCAGACCTTTTTGACTGTCCCCCTCAGTGCTACTGATATTCTCATCACTTTCGACATTTTTTGAGGTTACATGTTGTTGTTCCAGTCTGATCAGCCGACTCCCACCACACCATTGTGGTTTCTGTGTGTCTTATCTGTGTCATGCTTTCAGCTCTCCAACCTGTTTACAGCCTGACAAATGGTGCAACTTTTTCAGTTGTGTCACCCAGTAATGGACCAATAGTCAAAGTATTTAATGAACTGTCCACACTTCATTAGTATCTGATACTGTTGAGCACTGGGGCGATTTCTGACTCTACTTCCTCTGGGTCCACACACCTTAGTCAGGGGATTTGGACATTGAATGCAGCTCTTTCTAAAAAGGGATCTCTTGGCAATGATCAAGACAAAAGGTCTGAAAGCAAGTAGGGGGGACTGGAGAAAAGATGAAGTTGGAATGGGACACACCAATTATGTGGCAGTGGAGGGAATGTGCCCAGTCCAGTACTTTGGGAGAGAATACTTTACTCCTCCATAACTGCAAGGATGCAGTGGGGCAATTAATCCCACATTTGTCCCTTAGATCTGGCATTGCCATATGATTCGAGCAGCAGCTGCACTGGCAATCCAACTTGATGCTGAGTTTGTAATCCCCTTCTATGTGCTATGAAACAGAAAAACTCATGTGGATATGACCAGTCTGGAACTATTTTGTTATTCCTGATGACATCAATGGCAGCTCCTAAAAGTGAACCTGTAGAAACACATGATCCAGTGCAATCTTGTCTCAATCTAATTCATATACTTCTCTGACACCTGAATGGCCTTGTATTATGCCATGTATGAAGATTATTATGATGCTCAGATCATAAAATGAGGATCAAAAAATTATCAAATGAGGCACCCTTTTTATACTATTTAGACAAAGAAAAACAATGAATTTATGAAAAATTGGTAGAACGAAAAATTTAGTGCTCATTATAAAGGAATTTAAGCAAGGTTTTGGTATTCATTCTTGAGAAATTTAAACAAAGTAGTAAAATAGAAAAGAGGCAATAAGATTTGATTATATTATATTCTTCAATGAAAATGCTTTGCTCTGTTGCTGCAGCCATTCCAGAGATCTGCTGGGCTGCGATGCCCTCCACTGTGATTTATTCTTCAGTTCGAGCTAATCTGCATTTATTTCAGGAATTTATCAAATTTTTGGTTCACTGTCCTCTCCCCTTTCACTAATTTTATGAATGAATTTACTTTGCATTTCTTTATAATTGTTTCTACTCGTTTTAGAGAAGTAAACACCTGTGTTCAATTCAACGTCTTCTGCAAAAGCCTCCAGTTTAAATCTATTACCTCTCTAGATCATTATAGCAGTTAAAATATAGATTTCTCCCACATATTAAGAGTGCATACTTCAGATGGAAGAATCAAGGTATATGCACTCTGGGAAAGAAGAGCCAGAAGACATGTATAATTTCCCAAAGACAATAAATTTGGCCTATTATTATTATTTTATATTCAATGTGTGGTGTGAGGGAGGAGGATTTCCTTTGCTTAATGCATTACCTTAGGCCAGTTTTTCTGCTCTATGCTTCTTCTAGGGCTATGGTTGAGATTTTATCATTTTCAGGCTGCTTTTACTTTTCTTCCTGCTTTAGGTAAAATTTTAATATAAAAATGAGCAAAGATGCCACTATGAATGGCCAATAAAAATAATATTCAGCCTCAACAGTAATCAAATATAAATAGAGATAATCGGAATAATGCCTTGTTTTTAGATCAGCAGTAATACAATAATATATAATAATATGGGTGAGGGTATGGAGAAACCAACAGCCTCACACATTGCCTGATGGAACACAAATTGGTACAACTTTTTAACACAGGAATTGGAAATACTGACTAAAATTAAGACTGCAAAACTTCTGACAAAATAGTTCCTTTGTTACAAATGTGCAAAGCTATATACACATATAATTGATATGTAACCTTGCCAGTAATCAAAATATGCAAATTAAAACACTGAGATATCTTTTTCACCTATCAGAATGTCTAAGATTTAAAAGACTATCAATGCCCATTATTGGGAAAGATGAGCGTATTCATGGATATATTAATACAAGCTGTGTGGAAGGCAGTTTGACAATATATAACAAAATCCTTAAACAGATGAAATCCTTTTGACCCAAGATTTCCATTGTATCCCAAGAAAATATCAGAAAAGTGTACAAAGATATACATGCAAGGATATTAATATCAACATTGTATATGCATGCATGCAACCACTGAGGCAGCAGAAGACAGTAGCCCTAAGGTGGACTGACACCATGAGGCAGACAGAGGGATGCCAGAAGACCTGAGCTGTCCTCAACCTCACCTCTGACCAATCAGCTTCCAGAACATTCTGAACCCCTCACCTACAGAGTCCTATGATTTTGCCTTGCATAATCTGTAACCTAAAAACCATTGGAAGAGTTGGAGGAGTTCAGGCTTTTGAGTATCAGCTTCATGTTCTTCTGGATGGTGTCATTCATCAATAAAATATTTCTTGACTTCAATTCTCAGTGTTCAGTGTTTGGCTCTGCTGGTGCCCAGTGGACAAACTCTTTTTGTTTTATATAACTAACATGATCCTAAGAATTTTACTTTACTTATAATATGTATTTATAATGTTTTTTTAAAGATTTATTTATTTTTAGAGAGATGGGAAGAGAGGGAGAGCGGGAGAGAAACATCCATGTGTGGTTGCCTCTTGCACGCCCCCCACCAGGGACCTGGCCCACAACTCAGACATGTGCCCTGACCTGGAATTGAACCAGTGACCCTTTGGTTCGCAGGCCAGCACTCAATCCACTGAGCCATACCAGCCAGGTATATTTATAATGTTTTAATTTTTTACAATTAGTAAAGCAATATTGAAAAATCAAGAAATTTAGAAAAGTTGATCAGCTTCCCTGATAATTTAAAAATGCAATTTAGACTAATGAGGCACAATTATTGCCTAGTGTATTGGAAAAATTCCAAAATGAACACACAATGCTGTAGCGAGCCCTGGTCTCTATACACTTTTTTGATGGACCACTTATATTAGTAAAACTTTTTGACCTGGTGCCCTAAATTTATGTTTATGTGATTCTTTATGAATAAAGATGGAATCATATTACTCATACTCGTCTGCTACTTGTAAATTCACGTGTACAATGATGTTCACTAAAACAATTTTGGCATAGAAAAATTAGAAACATTCAGAATGCCCAACAATTCAGGACTAGTTAATTACTCAATATTTTTAGCCGGCATATATAGGTGTAATAATCAGTTGTCAAAAAGAGTGAGGTAGGTGGATATTATTGATGTGGTAAGAGCAACATATCAACATCAAGTCTGAAAGTATATACAGGAAATGGAATTGTATTCGCGGCGGGGTAAGGTGGGGAATGTGAAGCTATGCAGAGAATTTGCTTTCCATTATTCTAATTATTTGTACTGTTAACCATTTATAAAAAAAATTGTTTCTATAACTTCTCCCATTAGAAGACTACCAAAAATCTAAAACGAAAACCAGAAAGTCGCTTGAGTCATTAAAACAGAATGCATACATTTTAAAGTTCAGAAAATTCGTAGGCTTTTGTATAATTGTACTAGCCCACAGCTGGACACTGGAAAACTTCCTAAAGGGATTTGAGGCAACAGGAAATGGGTTCACTCTTCCAAGCTGCTCAAAATTGTGCTTGTGAAGGACATTGTCTAACGTTTTGAGCAAGTTTCATTTAGCTTCCGTTAAAATTTAAAAATTAAAAAGGACCCTCAGCTTCAGAAAGCTAGATCACCTTGATAAACCAGGCGCCCCTCCCCCTCCCCTCTGGCTTCCCTCCCCCCTCTCCTCCACCCCCCTCCACCCCAGGCCTCCTTTTCCTCGGTGCCGCCCTCCCCATCCGGGGGATCGCATATTCTCTGGCGCCCCGCCCCGCCCGGGCCCGAGGGGGGTCCCGACACAAACTTTGTCAGGTGGGCCCGCGCGATTGCCTTGCCTGGAGCGCTGCAAGGGAAAAGAAGGCCGCCCAGTCGACCTCCCGCAAGGATTCCTCCCGCGTCTGCCCTTCTGTCCGTCGGTCGGTGTGTCTGCGGAGCCGGCTGGAGGCCCTGCACTCTGCACTGTATGGGACCCTACATCAGACCAATGGCGGCGGCAGCGACCCTGTCGGGCCTGGCGTTGCGAGTGCCGCGCTGTGCAGCAGCCCGAGACTCCTACCGCGCGTTCTGCAAGGGGCTTACGCGCACGCTGCTCACCTTCTTTGACCTGGCCTGGCGGCTGCGCATGAACTTCCCCTATTTCTACGTCGTGGCCTCTGTGATTCTCAACGTCCGCCTGCAGGTACATATTTAGATTAACTAACTTTGTGGCAGTCGCGAGCCCCCCTCAGGATGACTGACTTCCACCCACCAACTCACCCGCCCTAGAGCAAAGCGGCCAGCTGGGCTCGCGCACGCAGACTTTGCAGGTCTGTGTTTCCAGTGCCTTATCTTCTAATGCAATTTGGCGGCTCGAAATCATGATTTACGGAAAGCCTGTAATATAAGCAAAAAAGCCGCAGATACAATGAAAAGTTGACTCTCAAGGAACTAGATAATTTAAAGAACAGAAAAGAACCTAAAAAATAAATGAAAAAAATTTTGCATCCATAAAACAAAAAAAAGAACACAAACTTTAGGAAATGATGATGGGCACAGGATGCCTTAAGGGAAAAAAAGAGAGGTTACTAACAACTTAAATAAAGATAAACTGTGAAAGAACGGTCCAAATAGGAAGCCAGCCTTCCAAATTAGAATAAAAAGTAAACAGTTTCAACTGAATGAAATGGATTCTTAACAATAGACAGATGGAGTTAGAAAGTGGAGAAAATTAATGACATGATCTGGAAGTCATACGTTTCTTTCATTCCCAAAGAAAAAAACAATGGTAAGTAAACAGGAACTACAGGAAACATTTCAAATTGTACAAAGAAACCATGCTTCAAGTATGAAGCAACCTCAGACGTGACCCGGTTTGAATAGTTACCAGAAGTGTGTGTGTAAAAGGGAATCTTCTTGAATGTTGGCAATCAAGACTGCAGTCACAGATGAGAAAATTCAGTCATAGCATTTGACTTTGTATTCAGTGAAAAATATTTAAATGATCATTACAATGCAAATATTACTTGTAGTTTTCCATTTTTAGAGTAAATTTCTACGCACAACTGGGAAGACAATTACAGTTATGGAACAGAATGGAATATCACCAAATTTGACAGTATACAAGTACTGGCAGAGGGGAGGAAATGAGACAGTGTTAGTCTCATGAAGTGAGAAGTCCAGATACTGTCTCTAGATCAAAGAATATTGGGAGGTATCACTAATCACTTTATGTGTTACATAAATGTCTAACCACTATGCTGTATACCTGAAACTAATATAATATTGAATGTCACCTGTAATTGAAAAATTAAAAATCAAATTAAAAAATAATAACACAGATTTAGTGATTATATTAAAATAAGCAATGTAACAAATATAAGAGTTAAAAATAGTGATAAAACCATATGGAGTGAGAAAGAAAGTGGAGGGGACAGCAGAAAGTCAGCAGAAAACTCATATCATCAAGTCAAGAAATAGTAATAATGGCACATTATTAAAAATTGAGGTGACCACTAAACAGACATGTGTAAAAGTTCTGCCTCTGGGTTGGGAAGATTTGAGAGGGATGGGCTGGTATTTACTGCTTTTCATTAGAGAGAGAGAGAAAGTGAGAGTGAGAGTGCTGGCCTGCAAACCAAAGTGTTGCTGGTTTGATTCCTGGTCAGGGCACATGCCTGGGTTGCAGCCCAGGTCCCCAGTAGGGGGCGCTTGAGAGGCAATGACACATTGATGTTTCCCTCTTCCTCCCTTCCCTTCTCTCTAAAAATAAATAAATACAATATTTTAGGAAAACAAATAAATAAAAATAAATTTACCTAATGTATGTCATGGCCACATGGCTTGATTGTTTGGAGCACAATTCCATGCACCAAAAGGTTGTTGGTTCGAACCCTGGTCAGGGTACATGTCTATGTTATTTGCAGGGTTTGATCCCTGGTTGAGGTGCATAAGGGAGGGAACTGGCCGATGTTTCTCTGTTGCATCGATATTTCTCCCTTCCTCTCTCTCTAAAATCAATAAATTATTTAAAATCAAGAAAAATAAAAATAAATTTATTGTAATTAGAAGGAAATTTGGGGGAGGGGGAGTTGTAGAGTGGCATGTTAGGCCAGGTAGATTCTGCCTTCCTATTTTTCTACAATATTGTATGTATATCCTAAAATATTCCTGAAAGATCACACAAAATAGGATTTCCTTGCTTTCCAAGCAAACAATTAACTATAAGGAAATGCTTTAAAACTAAAAATGGCCAGTAATCTTTAGATAACCCAGAGCTTCCTCACTCTATGAAACTGCATAAGTAAATCTCCACAATGTCAGTTAAGGTGAAAACAAAAGAAAATGATAAATTTTTCAAAGTTTAAAAATTAGATAAGTGCCCCATGATGTTTACATGGGGTTCTTAACATTTCAGTATTAGTCAGAAAGCAAGACAGTGGGAATAAACTAAATGTACAATAGAAGGAGCTTGGCTAAATAAAAACAGAACATCTATATAACAGTATACTTGGTAGCCATTAAAAAAAAGGAATTATATTTTATCCAGGTGGAGTGTATTTAATAGAGGTGAGCCACATAAATACACACACACACACACACACATGCACATATAATCACTTTCTTCTAAGAAAACATAGCTTTTTTCCAATTAACAGATCAAGCATACACACTTTTTTTATAGATTTATTTTTTAATCTATTTATTTTTTCAAATACATTTGTCTCTTCCTACCCCCCACCACTTTCCCTTGCCCCCTCCCTCTCTCCCTCCCTCCCTCCCTCAACTCTTCCCCTTTGGCTTTGTCCATGAGTCCTTCCTATATGTTCCTTGACTTTCCCCTTTCCTTGCTTTTCCCCGCCTCCCCTCCCTCCTTCCCTCTTGTCTCTGTTGGTTTCTTTTCCTTTCAGTGTTGCTGGTCTTATTTTCCTTGCATCTTTGTATTGTTGGTTAGATTCCACTTATAGGTGAGATCATATGGTATTTGTCTTTTGCCCCCTGGGTTATTTTGCTTAGCCTAATGCTCTCTAGTTCTATCCATGTTGTCACGAAGTTTAGTAGTTCTTTTTTTCTTTCTGCTGCGTAGTATTCCATTGTGTATATGTACCATAACTTTTTGATCCAGTCATCTACTGATGGGCATTTAGATTGCTTCCAACACTTGGCTATTGCAAATTGTATTGCTATGAACATTGGGGTGCATAGGTTCTTTTGAATTGGTGTTTTGGGATTCTAAACAGAGCTTAAAATTTTTCCTTGGTAAGAGCACAGACTTCTCATTTTTATGTTTCACTTTTCAAATCATTTCCTCTAATTCACTGCAGGTAAAATTCCTCTCATCCCACAGCTCCCCCCACCAAAAAAAAAAGACAACTAGTGAAACTACTTCATCTTAATTTATTAACATGTTCTATTCCATAATTGAATACCCTTCATGAGATGAGAATCTCTGGTAACTTTTGGCATAGGCCTAAGAGTAGAAGTCGGTACAGTTCTCTTGAGCACTGCTACTGCTACCACTACCATACAGCAAAACCAAATGTGCTTTAACTCCTGGTTCCCTAGAGAAGCAGTCCATTCAAATCACCAAATGGGAGGGATCTTGTCTCTTGCCTGCCAGATCTGTTCTACCTTGACTCTCAATTCCCCATTCTGTCCTCCAGGTGCTCTCCTGGTACAACCAAACTTTTGACTTCACAGGCACAGATGCAGGTTCCAGGCCCTGGTGTCTCTCTAGCTGGTCTACGACCCGGGTTTTATGTTGGAAGCCTTGACCCCCTTCCTGGGAAGCAGTTCCGCAGTTCTGTGACTGCCTTCGGACTCAGCCTGGTTCTGGTCACCACGGCGATTACTCACATGGGCTCCCTTCACCAACAACTCAGCGAGACTGTCTCCAGAATCCAAGGGCCCAGTCCAGGCATAGTTAGTCGCACTATACTTTACAGATGTGGTACTTTTTACAAATTCTTTTTACAAAAAGAATCTGAATGATTCTGGGCAAGGCGACCGAAGCCTTAAAACATGGAGGCTCCAGAGCAAGCGAGGATATCCCATATTTTTTCCATCACCTGTGTTTCTATCCCAAGTACTCCTGTGGTCAGAAGAAGTGAATCTCCGTGATTTCCAGCAGTTACCGAAATGAGGGGATGGGAGGTAGACAGCAAAATATTATAGACAATAATTACTTTCTACTCCTTGTATCCCTAGCATGTACAAACACCCTTTTCCTTTTCTTTTTTAAAGATTTTATTTATTTCTTTTTAGAGAGAGGGGAAGGGAAGGAGCGAGGGAGAGAAACATCAATGCGTGTTTGCCTCTCGCGTGCCCCCTGCTGGAGACCTGGCCCACAGCCCAGGCATGTGCCCTGACTGGGAATCGAACCGCCGACCCTTTGTTTCGCAGGCCGGCACTCAGTCCACTGAACCAGGGCAGCCAGGGCAAACATCCTTTTTCCACTGAATCCAAAAATGCTCCCTCCTGGCATAATTGAATTGTTCCATGTACAGCCGAGAACTACCGAGAGAGAGACAACACATACAAACATGTCCAGTTACCATAGTCAGAGGGGAGCTTGTGGAACCTCTGTTTGTAGTTCAAGTTCTCCCAGTGAGGGCCCTTCTTTCTCTAGCTCTGCCATTATCCCTACTTGATATTCTACAATCCCATGACATAAATGGTGAAGTCACCACCAGTAGCACCACTCTATCCTACTTAAAATACTAAAGAAGAAGTGAGAGAAGTTTCAAAAAAATGACAATAAGCATGGAAATACAGATAGAAGGTACAGTCCTCATTTCTGCACAGAGCCATGACATGGCCATTATTTGTGACTGACTTCTCTATCAATTCCACATTCCGTTTGCTTTACCTACGGGGTGTGGGGAGGGTTTCAGTTTTTCATTCCTAAGGAGTCTGAGCCATTGGCAGCCATTTGTAGGGCTGCGGTACTCTGCCGTGCACCCCCTCAGGATTATAGTATGAGAAGGCACCCTAGGAGATCCCAAGTCTCATCCATATTCCTCCCTGCCCTCATTCTATAGCATGAACACCGTAACCACCTGTTCTGAATGTCTCCAGGAGCTAAGAGTGACTTCAGATTTAGGGGACCCATTGTTTCACCCCAAACTAGATGTGTTTCTTCTAGGAAACTAAAACCTCTAAAGCAGCAGAGATCAAAGTTGCAGGGACTGGAATTAAAGCTGTTGGAGGGGAGTCAGTGGTATTATTATAATTATGAGAGGCACCACCTTTATTTCCAGTCCCCCCTT